TTAGCATTCTTAATCATTTATAATACCTAGATATGTTTTAAAATGCAATTCAAAGCATTCTTGGGTTTTGATCATAGTAGGCTATTTTTAAAAAAATTATATCGATTTTATATCTATATTAGCATTCTTTATCATTTATAATACCTAGATATGTTTTAAAATGCAATTCAAAGCCTTCTTGGGTTTTGATCATAGTAGGCTATTTTTAAAAAAATTATATCGATTTTATATCTATATTAGCATTCTTTATCATTTATAATACCTAGATATGTTTTAAAATGCAATTCAAAGCATTTTTGGTTTCAATCATAGTAGGCTATTTTTAAAAAAATTATATCGATTTTATATCTATATTAGCATTCTTTATCATTTATAATACCTAGATATGTTTAAAAATGCAATTTAAAGCATTTTTGGTTTTGATCATAGTAGGCTATTGTTAAAAAAATTATATCGATTTTATATCTATATTAGCATTCTTTATCATTTATAATACCTAGATATGTTTTAAAATGCAATTCAGACCATTTTTGGGTTTTGATCATAGTAGGCTATTTTTAAACAAATTATATCGATTTTATATCTATATTAGCATTCTTAATCATTTATAATACCTAGATATGTTTTAAAATGCAATTTAAAGCATTTTTGGGTTTTGATCATAGTAGGCTATTTTTAAAAAAATTATATCGATTTTATATCTATATTAGCATTCTTTATCATTTATAATACCTAGATATGTTTTAAAATGCAATTCAAAGCATTTTTGGTTTCAATCATAGTAGGCTATTTTTAAAAAAATTATATCGATTTTATATCTATATTAGCATTCTTTATCATTTATAATACCTAGATATGTTTTAAAATGCAATTCAAAGAATTTTTGGGCTTTGATCATAGTAGGCTATTTTTAAAAAAATTATATCGATTTTATATCTATATTAGCATTCTTTATCATTTATAATACCTAGATATGTTTTGAAATGCAATTCAAAGCATTTTTGGGTTTTGATCATTGAAGGCTATTTTTAAAAAAATTATATCGATTTTATATCTATATTAGCATTCTTTATCATTTATAATACCTAGATATGTTTTAAATTGCAATTCAAAGCATTTTTGGGTTTTGATCATTGTAGGCTATTTTAAAAAAAATTATATCGATTTTATATCTATATTAGCATTCTTAATCATTTATAATACCCAGATATGTTTTAAAATGCAATTAAAACATTTTTGGTTTCAATCATAGTAGGCTATTTTTAAAAAAATTATATCGATTTTATATCTATATTAGCATTCTTTATCATTTATAATATCTAGATATGTTTTAAAATGCAATTCAAAGTATTTTTGGTTTCAATCATAGTAGGCTATTTTTTTAAAAAATTATATCGATTTTATATCTATATTAGCATTCTTTATCATTTATAATACCTAGATATGTTTTAAAATGCTATTTAAAGCATTTTTGGGTTTTGATCATAGTAGGCTATTTTTAAAAAAATTATATCGATTTTATATCTATATTAGCATTCTTTATCATTTATAATACCTAGATATGTTTTAAAATGCAATTCAAAGCATTTTTGGGTTTTGATCATAGTAGGCTATTTTTAAAAAAATTATATCGATTTTATATCTAAATTAGCATTCTTTATCATTTATAATACCTAGATATGTTTTAAAATGCAATTCAAAGTATTTTTGGTTTCAATCATAGTAGGCTATTTTTAAAAAAATTATATAGATTTTATATCTATATTAGCATTCTTTATCATTTATAATACCTAGATATGTTTTAAAATGCAATTCAAAGCATTTTTGGGTTTGGATCATAGTAAGCTATTTTTAAAAAAATTATATCGATTTTATATCTATATTAGCATTCTTTATCATTTATAATACCTAGATATGTTTTAAAATGCAATTTAAAGCATTTTTGGTTTTGATCATAGTAGGCTATTTTAAAAAAATTATATCGATTTTATATCTTTATTAGCATTCTTTATCATTTATAATACCTAGATATGTTTTAAAATGCAATTCAAAGCATTTTTGGTTTCAATCATAGTAGGCTATTTTTAAAAAAATTATATCGATTTTACATCTATATTAGCATTCTTTATCATTTATAATACCTAGATATGTTTTAAAATGCAATTCAAAGCATTTTTGGTTTCAATCATAGTAGGCTATTTTTAAAAAAATTATATCGATTTTATATCTATATTAGCATTCTTTATCATTTATAAAACCTAGATGTGTTTAAAAATGCAATTTAAAGCATTTTTGGTTTTGATCATAGTAGGCTATTTTTAAAAAAATTATATCGATTTTATATCTTTATTAGCATTCTTTATCATTTATAATACCTAGATATGTTTTAAAATGCAATTCAAAGCATTTTTGGGTTTTGATCATAGTAGGCTATTTTTAAAAAAATTATATCGATTTTATATCTATATTAGCATTCTTTATCATTTATAATACCTAGATATGTTTTAAATTGCAATTCAAAGCATTTTTGGTTTCAATCATAGTAGGCTATTTTTAAAAAAATTATATCGATTTTATATCTATATTAGCATTCTTTATCATTTATAATACCTAGATATGTTTTAAAATGCAATTCAAAGCATTTTTGGTTTCAATCATAGTAGGCTATTTTTAAAAAAATTATATCGATTTTATATCTATATTAGCATTCTTTATCATTTATAATACCTATATATGTTTTAAAATGCAATTCAAAGCATTTTTGGTTTCAATCATAGGAGGCTATTTTTAAAAAAATTATATCGATTTTATATCTATATTAGCATTCTTTATCATTTATAATACCTAGATGTGTTTAAAAATGCAATTTAAAGCATTTTTGGTTTTGATCATAGTAGGCTATTTTTAAAAAAATTATATCGATTTTATATCTTTATTAGCATTCTTTATCATTTATAATACCTAGATATGTTTTAAAATGCAATTCAAAGCATTTTTGGGTTTTGATCATAGTAGGCTATTTTTAAAAAAATTATATCGATTTTATATCTATATTAGCATTCTTTATCATTTATAATACCTAGATATGTTTTAAAATGCAATTCAAAGCATTTTTGGGTTTTGATCATAGTAGGCTATTTTTAAAAAAATTATATCGATTTTATATCTATATTAGCATTCTTTATCATTTATAATACCTAGATATGTTTTAAAATGCAATTCAAAGCATTTTTGGTTTCAATCATAGTAGGCTATTTTTAAAAAAATTATATCGATTTTACATCTATATTAGCATTCTTTATCATTTATAATACCTAGATATGTTTTAAAATGCAATTCAAAGCATTTTTGGTTTCAATCATAGTAGGCTATTTTTAAAAAAATTATATCGATTTTATATCTATATTAGCATTCTTTGTCATTTATAAAACCTAGATGTGTTTAAAAATGCAATTTAAAGCATTTTTGGTTTTGATCATAGTAGGCTATTTTTAAAAAAATTATATCGATTTTATATCTTTATTAGCATTCTTTATCATTTATAATACCTAGATATGTTTTAAAATGCAATTCAAAGCATTTTTGGGTTTTGATCATAGTAGGCTATTTTTAAAAAAATTATATCGATTTTATATCTATATTAGCATTCTTTATCATTTATAATACCTAGATATGTTTTGAAATGCTATTCAAAGTATTTTTGGTTTCAATCATAGTAGGCTATTTTAAAAAAATTATATCGATTTTATATCTATATTAGCATTCTTTATCATTTATAATACCTAGATATGTTTTAAAATGCAATTCAAAGCATTTTTGGGTTTTGATCATAGTAGGCTATTTTTAAAAAAATTATATCGATTTTATATCTATATTAGCATTCTTTATCATTTATAATACCTAGATATGTTTTAAAATGCAATTCAAAGCATTTTTGGTTTCAATCATAGTAGGCTATTTTTAAAAAAATTATATCGATTTTATATCTATATTAGCATTCTTTATCATTTATAATACCTAGATATGTTTTAAAATGCAATTTAAAGCATTTTTGGTTTCAATCATAGTAGGCTATTTTTAAAAAAATTATATCGATTTTATATCTATATTAGCATTCTTTATCATTTATAATACCTAGATGTGTTTAAAAATGCAATTTAAAGCATTTTTGGATTCAATCATAGTAGGCTATTTTTAAAAAAATTATATCGATTTTATATCTATATTAGCATTCTTTATCATTTATAATACCTAGATGTGTTAAAAAATGCAATTTAAAGCATTTTTGGTTTTGATCATAGTAGGCTATTTTTAAAAAAATTATATCGATTTTATATCTTTATTAGCATTCTTTATCATTTATAATACGAAAGAACAAAGAGGTTGATTGGTGTTGAAGGCTCCTAACACAGTCACACTTCTCTGTGGTGAATAACTCCGCCTATGGTGAATTTTATTTGAAATCTGAATTCAAAATCGATTGCAACGGAAAATTCAAATCCTTTTGTAACGGAAATTATTGAGCTCACGCACAATTTGACATCAATTGATGAATTAATTTTCACTTCCATCAACAAAGATTGATTAAATTATCAATTTTAAAAAACGATTGATTTAGTTATCAACAGTATTTTCAAAGGTGATTTAAGTATCACAAACCATCAATTCTTGACTTAATTGTCAAGGTTCTAAAAAGACCGACTTAATTGTCGGTTTATCATCAAGTGACTTGATTGGCACATATTTTCAAATTCTTGACTTAATTGTCAAGGTTCTAAAAAGACCGACTTAATTGTCGGTTTATCATCAAGTGACTTGATTGGCACATATTTTCAAATTATTGACTTAATTGTCAAGGTTCTAAAAAGACCGACTTAATTGTCGGTTTATCATCAAGTGACTTGATTGGCACATATTTTCAAATTATTGACTTAACTGTCAATTCATCTGTACTCATCATTTATCTCATTTGTATGTGCCTAAAATGCACCCAACCAAAGCACCAAGTAACAAGTTTCAACAAATCAACGGCCATGTTCCAGATGAAATTGAGAATGCTTATGCAAACCTAGGCACTCCAAAGACAAAGTTTAAGAATATAATTCGCCAAAAGGGTAAAAAGCAAACATCTGGACCACCACAAGCCCATGACATCCGTAAATTCTTAAAAGATAATAATCGTAAATCAACAACTCGATATCATGAAACTCGTCAAATTCCCTCATCTCCAACCGACTCTCAACAATCTCAATCTCAACCTGATGAATACTCGATAGCTGTAAAAGATAAAAGTAATGAAATTACATTGTTAACGAAGGAATATCAGCAACTTACCAGCGCAGATTCATTTGATTTGTCACTAATATTTAAAAAGACGAACGATTTAATTCAAGCCATGAACGATCGCCACAATCTCCTAATTCGTCAGCTCTCGGCAAGTCAAAGCAAGCATACCGACTTTGTAGCATCAGAAATTAATGCTCTGAGATGCGAAATTGATCAAGTTAAGTCTAGTCATCAAGAGGAAATCGAAACTCTTCAAATAATAGACTCATCTCGAAGTGACCTAAAAAAGTTCTGGATAAGATTTAAATTTAGAGGGGAAGCTCAAGACATCCGAGGAAGAGGAAATTATCCAACTGAAATAAAAAAAATTCTTGATAAAATGGGAATTAAGTTCAATCTAGGGATACTTCCCTTGGAATCAGCATTTTTCCAGGACAGGAAGTTTGGTGGCAGCTCGATCCCAGAAATTGCTCTGTGCTGTAACTTTGTTAACTCCACAATAGCACGACGAGTAAAGATTGACATAGCAAACTTCAATAAAGGCTTAGAAGAAAAAGGTCAGTCAGACTTAGTTCGTTACTTTACAACAGTTAGCTGGTCCGAAAATGTATGGAAGATCCTTAGAATTTGTTTTGAAATCAAGGGGAATGGCTTGCTCAATAGCGCTTTTGTGACTAATGAAGGTATTAAGGTCCAATATGAGACTGATTTAGCGCCTGAAGATCCGAATGACACTGTCGTTGATCCCCCCAAAGTTGTCACCACTAAAATTAACAGCATGTCTGCACTAGACGAACTACGCAAATCTATTAACGACTTTAATTACCAATTGCCAGCAGTTCAGGTGTATAATTCTGAATACTTCAACCTGTCAACAGAACAAAGAAAAGAGTTTCGCATGAATTATCAGCAGGAAATACTCGAGGACGATAATCAAATGCTGATGGAAACTCAGGATAATAACTGACATTATCCATTCTCACCTCTAAATCTAAATAAAGTCGATAGTAGTAAATTCAATGATAGCAATACATTTAATGCAAGCAAGGAAATAAACATATCTAAGAGTAAACAAAGTGGAAACCTAAGTCTTAATGAATTAAAAATGAAACTTGAATCAAATCTATACAGTAGCCATTCCAGAAACGTATCTTCGTTTTCATCTATTCTATGGAACATAAATACTATCACTGATACTAAATACAATAAACTCAAACTAATACTATCTGACTTATCTAGATCTGAGGTGAGAAGTAGCGCGAATAATACAGCTTGTAACAAACAAATCGATTTAATTGTGCTGACTGAGTACGGGAAAAAACACACAAAGTTTAATTGTTTTAATATAAATAACTACAAACTTTATACCTCTCTAAGAACTGAACGAAAAGGAGGTGGTATCGCCGCTTACGTCCATAATTCACACTCATCACTAGTCAAGCGCGCCGAAATAACTAATAATTATGAAATTATGCTATTAGAACTCACCATCAACGGTACTGAAACCAAAGAATTACTCATAATTTATCGACCACCTAATGGCAACATCGACGTCTTCATATCAATGTTAGAGGGGCATTTATCGTCATCCAATGAACATCTCATCATCCTAGGTGATATTAATATTAATGTACATTCAAATCCTCCAAATCAATCAAGGTCAACAGCTTCACTAAAATATATGGATCTGATTAATTCATACGGTATGCATGTAAAAAATAATGCCATCACCAGATTCAATAATATAACTGATAATCACTCAATTATTGATCACGTTGTTGCTTCCTTTTCGAATATATTGAATGTTTTTACATCTAATAATATTATGCTCGATGGATGCTCAGACCACAATCTTTTACTGATAATCTCTCCAGGATCGCTATCACAAAAATCCAAACTCTCAAAATTATCTATAAAAAGAACAAATAAAGTTCGAGTCATTAAATCAATAAGAAATAAATTAAACAGCTTTACGTACCGCGATAATGATGTGGATTCTAAAACTGATCAACTATTTGAATTAGTCTGGCAAGCTCACGAAGATAATTCATCCATGTTTCACATCAAAACTCGTAACAATAAAGAATCACTTCCGCCGTGGACCAATAAAACATACACCGCAATGTGCAAGTCTTTACACAATTTAAACGAGAAAATCCACAAACTTAAAAGCAGCAAACGTCCAGTTGATATCCTAGAAGTGAAAAAGAATGAATTAATAAGGATAAAAAATGAATACGCTACCGCCCGCACGAAAGCATTCTACTGTGACATTTCAGTTCTCGACGTAAAATCTGGATGGAAAATTATAAATGAAAATACGGGATGCGAACAAAAGGGATGCAAAATTATACTCGAGACTCTGAATAAGCGAATTACTAATGATTTAGAAATTGCGAATGAATTTCAACAATACTTTTTGTCAATAGTAAATATTAATGCTACAGATTTACAGCCATTGTATCCTCCATCTGATGTTTCGACCGTCTTTCGCTTTAACCCTGCCAGTGCACTTACATTCCAAAATTGGCTCAAACAACTCAACATCAGTAAGGCATCCGGTCATGACAATGTATCGCCCTTCATTTGGAATAATTTGAATGAGATAATGGCAGCCAAAGTTCATGAATTGTTTCTTGATATGGTCAATCAATCAGTTTATCCAAAGTCGCTTAAAAAGTCAATTGTTCACCCCATTCATAAAAATGGATCACGCCTTAAAGTGGAAAATTATCGTCCAATCTCGGTCCAAGTTTCTCTCAGCAAAGTTTTTGAATCTGAAATGTCAGAACAAATTGATTATTACATGACTACAAATAATTACTGGGATGCTAATCAGTACGGATTCAAAAAGAAAAAAGGATGTCAAGAAACAATTGCAAAAGTCATACATGAAGTGTCTAAAATACTAGATCGAAAATCAAGCGTATTATTATTGTCTTTGGATCTGTCAAAAGCTTTCGATTCAATAGATCATCAAATTTTGTTGACAAAACTTGCTAAATTAGGATTTTCATTTGAATCTTTGGAACTTATTAGGAGTTATTTATCAGATCGTACTCAAGCTGTCCAAATAAATGGATCTCAAAGCAAAGAAGGGAAAGTATCTGGTGGAATTACCCAAGGTTCTTGCAACGGTCCAACATTGTTTAACTTATACATAAACGATATCAAAGATTTGAACTTATCGTGCCTTAACTATCGCTTCGCAGATGATTCTATGCTAATTTGGGAAATAGGTACTGATATTAACCAAACGATAAGGAACATAAATTTCGATTTAGATGAAATTGGCGCTTATTACGTATCCAACAAACTCAAACTAAATCTCTCAAAGTCAAAATACTTAATAGTAGGCACCGGACAGACAGATCAAAGTTTAATAGACCTTCTTGATTCAAAAACTATCTTAAGTGTCGAAAGTCTAACTTACCTTGGAGTTCCGATTGATCCATTGCTAAGCTTTGCAAAGTACAGCGATCAGATTAGAAATAAATTGTCACAAACTGTTGGAGCTGTTTCAATCCTTCGCAAAAGACTCACAAAAGACCTCCAGCTAAACTTTTTTCACGCTCATTTCCAATCGCACTTATCGTATTGTGCATTCCTTCTGTTAAGATCTACAGCACAGACATTGAAAAGCCTACAAGTCCTTCAGAATCGATGCCTCAAACTAATTTTTGGCCTGCCTTTAGACTTTTCAACTTCAGCTCTATTCAAACAAGTCGCTCCAAGGATTTTGCCAGTTATGGGACTTCTTTTCTATTCATGCCTGATTGCTGTCAAGAAATCATTGCTCTCTCATGATGATACGTTGGTGAAATTTGAATTATTGCAATCAGATCGCCTGAAAAATATAAAAATAGCAAATTACGCAACAAAATTTATGAAAAATGATATGACAGCACTGGGATCATCAATATATAATAGCTTACCGCTGAAATTAAAGGCTATTAACAATCTGGATAGCTTTAAAGCTGAAATTAAGCACTTCTTGTTGACTAAAACGGATACATTAATCTCACCACGACAAATGGCTGACAAAAATAAAATCTTTTAAGGATCGAACGATGTTGACAACTGCTTCATCCCAAGCGTCATTAAGCTGTAGATCCTAAAAGAAAAGAGATAAGGATTTACAGAAAGAATCCAGCCTCAAACATATCGCGAAAAGTCCTGTTTTTTATGTTTTTCTCAAAGTCAACATATACTTATCTGAACTCATAATCCATGTAATTATCACCAAACCATCAACAGATGACTTCTGCAGCGTCCCTTGTCCAAGCGATTCTTTTCATCACGAGTTAATTATACATTTCACTGTTTTTCACTTTTCAATATTTACATGTTTTTTTAGTACATCTTAGAACAAGCATTTATTTTAAAATAATTTTATCCGTTACAAAAATTATTCGTATATATTTTCTTAGCTTGTGCTTCAATTTATCATTATGTATTGTATGTCCAACAAATAATTTCTTGTTAATTATATCCAACCAGATTTGGTCAATAAAAATCATACAATCAAATCTAATCTATGACTAAGTATCTAGATTAGAAATTTGGATTGGTATGGTTTTACAAATGTAAAAAAAATACCTAGATATGTTTTAAAATGCTATTTAAAGCATTTTTGGGTTTTGATCATAGTAGGCTATTTTTAAAAAAATTATATCGATTTTATATCTATATTAGCATTCTTTATCATTTATAATACCTAGATATGTTTTAAAATGCAATTCAAAGCATTTTTGGGTTTGGATCATAGTAAGCTATTTTTAAAAAAATTATATCGATTTTATATCTATATTAGCATTCTTTATCATTTATAATACCTAGATATGTTTTAAAATGCAATTTAAAGCATTTTTGGTTTTGATCATAGTAGGCTATTTTAAAAAAATTATATCGATTTTATATCTTTATTAGCATTCTTTATCATTTATAATACCTAGATATGTTTTAAAATGCAATTCGAAGCATTCTTGGGTTTTGATCATAGTAGGCTATTTTTAAAAAAATTATATCGATTTTATATCTATATTAGCATTCTTTATCATTTATAATACCTAGATATGTTTTAAAATGCAATTCAAAGCATTTTTGGTTTCAATCATAGTAGGCTATTTTTAAAAAAATTATATCGATTTTATATCTATATTAGCATTCTTTATCATTTATAAAACCTAGATGTGTTTAAAAATGCAATTTAAAGCATTTTTGGTTTTGATCATAGTAGGCTATTTTTAAAAAAATTATATCGATTTTATATCTTTATTAGCATTCTTTATCATTTATAATACCTAGATATGTTTTAAAATGCAATTCAAAGCATTCTTGGGTTTTGATCATAGTAGGCTATTTTTAAAAAAATTATATCGATTTTATATCTATATTAGCATTCTTTATCATTTATAATACCTAAATATGTTTTAAATTGCAATTCAAAGCATTTTTGGTTTCAATCATAGTAGGCTATTTTTAAAAAAATTATATCGATTTTATATCTATATTAGCATTCTTTATCATTTATAATACCTAGATATGTTTTAAAATGCAATTCAAAGCATTTTTGGGTTTTGATCATAGTAGGCTATTTTTAAAAAAATTATATCGATTTTATATCTATATTAGCATTCTTTATCATTTATAATACCTAGATATGTTTTAAAATGCAATTCAAAGCATTTTTGGTTATTTTTAAAAAAATTATATCGATTTTATATCTATATTAGCATTCTTTATCATTTATAATACCTAGATATGTTTTAAAATGCAATTCAAAGCATTTTTGGTTTCAATCATAGTAGGCTATTTTTAAAAAAATTATATCGATTTTATATCTATATTAGCATTCTTTATCATTTATAATACCTAGATGTGTTTAAAAATGCAATTTAAAGCATTTTTGGATTCAATCATAGTAGGCTATTTTTAAAAAAATTATATCGATTTTATATCTATATT